TTACAGCGTGAAGCGCTCCTTCGTAGTTACAAGCTCCTGAGAAGACAGAAAGAATCTGGGTCAATATTCCTGATTTCAACATTTCAGCGATATAAATGTAATCATTCTGTTCATGTTAACATATAACATCAGCTATGTTTAAGTGAATCCATTATATCAACCTGAAATGGACAACAAAAGCTCCCCCCAAGATGGACTACAAAGGTCACCTTGATTTAGACTGAGAAGTTAATACTGATGGACTCTTTACTCAGCGGCCTCTACCATCAGTGTGTGAATGTGTGTGAATGGATGAGTTAATACTGACGGACTCTTTACACAGCGGCCTCTACCATCAGTGTATGAATGGATGAGTTAATACTGATGGACTCTTTACACAGCGGCCTCTACCATCAGTGTGTGAATGGATGAGTTAATACTGACGGACTCTTTACACAGCGGCCTCTACCATCAGTGTGTGAATGTGTGTGAATGGATGAGTAAATACTGACGGACTCTTTACTCAGCGGCCTCTACCATCAGTGTGTGTGAATGGATGAGTAAATACTGACGGACTCTTTACTCAGCGGCCTCTACCATCAGTGTGTGAATGTGTGTGAATGGATGAGTAAATACTGACGGACTCTTTACTCAGCGGCCTCTACCATCAGTGTGTGAATGTGTGTGAATGAATGAGTTAATACTGACGGACTCTTTACACAGCAGCCTCTACCATCAGGGTATGAATGTGTAGGTGTGACCTGCGGTGTAAAAGCGCTTTGAGTAATCAGAAGAGTAAAAAAATAACTCTTCACGCTCCAGTCCATTTACCAGAACTACAGAAGAACTCTGGGGCGCAGGTAGTCGAGCGGTTAGTGCGTGCTCTCCATGTACATAGGCTATAGTCCTCCAAGCGGGCGGCCCAGTTTCAAATCCAACCTGTTGCTCCTGATTCCTGACTCTATCCTCTGACCTATCTCTAAAATAAAGGCAGAAAAAGCCCCAAAATAAAAATTAAAAAAAATAAAAAGAACTAAAGAGGAACCCAGCTTGGTATGGAGCACTGACACTAGAAAAACAAACTGGACTTTGGAGGGTCTGACGGGCCCTGGCACAGTACAGTACAGAACGCCAGACGCATAAACCCAACGTTGCCAAAGTTCTTGTACAATTGAGACAGTTTGCCGGCAATGTTAGATAATTAAGAACAATAAATTACCATGGTATTAATAGCTTAGTTTTTTTCAAAGAATCTCAAAATTTTCTTAAAATAAACTTTGAGTCACAGCTTTGAAAACATTTTTAGTCCTCTAAAAAGTCTTTACACGGATCTCAATGCTCAGAGTGTAAAAAGAGTTCATGTTGCTCCAGTTTTCTGTTAACTTGGAAACACTCATCTTCCTGCAGTCCCCCCCTCTGAGACGCCCCTGCCTCTCAGACTCACATGAAGTTTTTTTTTTCCAAACACTCACCATGAATCCCGCACAGACCCGCAGCCACACAGACCACAAGCAACCAGACCGTAGCCATAATCCGAGCCGTGCCGGGTTAGTCCAGGTCCAGGTACAGACTGTGGGGCTGTTTTCCTGTGTCTCTAATCAAACCGGACTCCTTGGTCACGGTTCATCTCAGAAACATCCAGAAAACCCCTGAAACTCCGAGACTCAGTCTGAGCTCCGAGCTCCGGAATGCGGCTTAGACCAGGAGGAGTAAGCCGTACTCCTCCTGAAACCCGGATGACTGAGTCCTGCACCTCCTCAGTAAACAGGAGGACTGAACGCTCCTGCTCTCCTCCTCCAGCTGCTCCGCTCGGTGTGAACTCCGCTCAAATAAAGAAATCCTGCTTCAGATTTTTCAGTCTCTGATTTTCTTTCGACCCCAGACTTCAAAGTCCGCACACCGAGCCGTGCGGGCTGATCCGTGCTACGTGATTCTTGCTATGTGATCCGTGCTGTGCAAAACCGTGCGGGTTGAGCCGGGCCGTGTGTTCTGAACCGTGCGGACTAACGGAGCCGTGCTGTCTGCTCGGTATGAAGCGGGCTGTCGGTGTGTCCCGCAGTGTTTCACAGATTCACTCTCCGCTTCTCCTCCGTGCAGATTCTCTCTCTGCTCTCCCCTCCTCCTCCTCCTCCCTCTCACTCCTCCTCCGGGGGGACGTCCCGCCTCCTCCCCCAACCCCCATCACAGGTAGCCCTTCATGACCACGTGGGAGGGTTATTATTTTTATTTTCTTTTAAAGATTTATATTCGGGCTTTTTGTGCCTTTAATGGAGAGAGAAAGTGGGTAGAGTTGGAAATCAGGGAGAGAGAGAAAGGGGAATGACACAGGGAGCCACAGGTTGGGTTCGAAACCTGGCCCGCCCGCTTGGAGGACCATGGCCTCCATACCTGGGGCACGCTGACTAACCTGCCCCACCAGCGCCTGTTATTATTTATTTCATTCAAAGTTTATTTCACCAGAAAACCTGGTTGAGATTAAGAATCTGTTTTAAAGAGACAGGCAGCAGCACATTTTAAAGTTACTGACATGAACACATGAAAACACAAACACAGGTCAGCACCTCAGGGGGGCATTCCATCAACTAAAGAAAGCCAAGCTCACCTGAAAAAGTCAGACTGAAACTAACTACATCTCCTAATTAAGTCTCAAGTCGCTCCATGAACGCAATAATTAACTAACCCTACGGTGAAGGAACCAAACTCCCACTTAAATGAGCCAGACTTATCGAAATAAGCGAGGATTCTGCTCTGACCCCCTGGTTCACATCAGACAATCTACATCCTGATTTATCAAACACCTTCAGCTTCCTTTAAAAAGCTGCAGAGACACAGCAGAGCTGAAACTCCTCTTCTGAAACACTTTGTGACCAGAAGTTTTAATGAATTAAATTAGACATCAGGAGGGAAAAACTATTATATTTAATCACTTAATCCCATTATTATTATTATTATTATTATTATTATTATCATCATCATTATTATTATTATTATTATTATTATTTCAAATATAATTAAAGATTGGACTTCAAACAATGATTTCCTGCATATTAGATTAGATCAAACTACAAAACACAAAACAGAGTCTAAAACTACAAAACAGAGTATCAAACTACTAAGCAGAGACTGTAACTATAAAACAGTTTTGAACTACAAAACAGAGTCTTAAACTACAAAACAGAGTTTTAAACTACAAAACAGTTTTAAACTACAAAACAGAGTCTAAAACTACAAAATAGAGTTTTAAACTACAAAACAGAGTTTATAACTACAAAACAGAGTCTGAAACTACAAAACAGTTTTAAACTACAAAACAGAGTCTGAAACTACAAATTAGAGTCTGAAACTACAAAACAGAGTATCAAACTACAAAGCAGAGACTGAAACTATAAAACAGTTTTGAACGACAAAACAGAGTCTGAAACTACAAAACAGAGTCTTGAACTATAAAACAGTTTTAAACTACAAAACGGCGTCTTAAACTACAAAACAGAGTCTTAAACTATAAAACAGTTTTAAACTACAAAATAGAGTTTTAAACTACAAAACAGAGTCTGAAACTACAAAACAGAGTCTGAAACTACAAAGCAGAGACTGAAACTATAAAACAGTTTTGAACTACAAAACAGAGTCTGAAACTACAAAACAGAGTCTTAAACTACAAAACAGAGTCTGAAACTACAAAACAGAGTTTTAAACTACAAAACAGAGTTTAAAACTACAAAACAGAGTCTGAAACTACAAAACAGTTTTAAACTACAAAACAGAGTCTGAAACTACAACATTTTATTTTGGGGCTTTTTGTGCCTTTAATGGAGAGACAGGACAGTGGATAAAGTTGGAAATCAGGGAGAGAGAGAGAGAGAGGGGAATGACATGTGGGAAAGGAGCCACAGGTGGGATTCGAGCCTGGGCCGCCCGTCTGGAGGAGCAATGCCTCCATACATTTGGTGCACACACAAACCACTGCGCCACCAGCGCCCCCGAAACAGTTTTAAACTACAAAGCAGAGTCTGAAAGTCCGGGTCATGTGAACCTGTACAACTTCAGGAAGATCAGACCTTGGAATGAACAAGTTTTTACGATGGAGACGTTTAAAGTTGTTGAGTGTAAATAAGTCCGGGGTCAGACTCTCTAAGGGAGTTCCATGTTGCTCCTGTGTCTGAGCAGTATGGACCCTAACCCTAACCCATCGCCCCCTCTGACACCACCGCCAGAGGTCAGCAGAGTACACACTGCCACCTGGTGTTCAGAACGAGAACTACAGCAGATCATATTACAGATCGTGGGCACACACTGAGGTTTGATCCATCCATCATCACTGAACCTAATGAGCATGTCTTCGGACTGTGGGAGGAAGCCGGAGTACCCGGAGAGAACCCACACATGAACGAGAACATGCAGACTCTACCAGGAACCTCCTCACAGAGAGACTCCTATCAGACGGGGATTCAAACCAGGACCCTCCTCACAGAGAGACTCCTGTCAGATGGACTGGACTCACTCTGACCTCTCTGGTCCTCAGGTGGGAGACTCTGACCTCTCTGGTCCTCAGGTGGGAGACTCTGACCTCTCTGGTCCTCAGGTGGGGGACTCTGACCTCTCTGGTCCTCAGGTGGGAGACTCTGACCTCTCTGGTTTCTCAGGTGGGGGACTCTTAGTTCTGCTTCCAGATCAGGTGATTAGAGTTCAGCTCTGAGTCTCTTTAACGGACTCAGAGAATGAGTCACCAGAGCTCGAGTTACCATAGTAACAGACTCAGAATGAACTAAACCTGACTTTTTTTTGTTTTTGTGCCTTTATTGGAGAGACAGGACAGTGAATAGAGTCAGAAATCAGAGAGAGAGAGAGAGAGAGAGAGAGAGAGAGAGAGAGAGAGAGAGAGAGAGAGAGAGAGAGAGAGAGAGAGAGAGAGAGAGAATGACATTCGGGAAAGGAGCCACAGATCGTACTCGAACCCGGGTCGCCCGCTGAATGACTACAGCCTCCATACATGGGACGCGCTCACTAACCACTGTGCCATCTGAATCGAACCCCAAATGTTTTATTTTAAATACAAATTTTAAACGATGAAACTTTATTGAACACAGAACATTTATTCAAACACATTTTATATATAAATGTAAATAAATCAATAAATTATTAACAGACAATATATTGATTTATATATCGTTTATATATGTTAATACATCTACAGCAAACAAAGGTCACTCCTCCTTCTTCTTCTTCTTCTTCTCATCGGCTGCTTTCAGTAAAACGTCTTCACTCCTGAACCACAACGCTTCACTCGCCTGAGTCGACATGATCGCACGCTCGATGAACGGTCCTGAGGAAGAGGAGGTACAAGAGGAGGAGGAGGAAAAGGAGGTACAAGAGGAGGAGGAAGAGGAGGTACAAGAGGATGAGGACGGGAGGGAGGAGGAGGTACAAGAGGAGGAGGAGAGGGAGGAAGAGGAGGAGGAGGGAGAGGTACAAGAGGAGAGGGACAAGGAAGAGAGGGAGGAGAGGGAGGAGGTACAAGAGGAGGAGGAAAAGGAGGTACAAGAGGAGGAGGAAGAGGAGGTACAAGAGGAGGAGGAAAAGGAGGTACAAGAGGAGAGGGACAAGGAAGAGAGGGAGGAGAGGGATGAGGAGGAGGAGAGGGAGGAGGATGAGGACGAGAGGGAGGAGGAGGTACAAGAGGAGGAGGAGAGGGAGGAAGAGGAGGAGGGAGAGGAGAGGAGGAAGAGGAGGTACAAGGGGAGGAGGATAGGCAGGAGGAAGAGAGAGAGGAGAGGAGAGGAGGATGAGGACGGGAGGGAGGAGGAGGTACAAGAGGAGGAGCAGAGGGAGGAGGAAGAGGAGGTACAAGAGGAGGAAGAGAGGGAGGAGGAAGAGGAGGAGGAGGGAGAGAGAGAGGAGAGGGAGAGAGAGAGGAGAGGAGAGGAGGATGAGGACGGGAGGGAGGAGGAGGTACAAGAGGAGGAGCAGAGGGAGGAGGAAGAGAGAGAGGAGGAAGAGGAGGAGGAGGGAGAGAGAGAGGAGAGGGAGAGAGAGAGGAGAGGAGAGGAGGATGAGGACGGGAGGAGGAGGAGGTACAAGAGGAGGAGCAGAGGGAGGAGGAAGAGAGAGAGGAGGAAGAGGAGGAGGAGGGAGAGAGAGAGGAGAGGGAGGAATCCATCCAGTCAGAGATTTAAACAGAGTCAGTGTTTTTTCCTGTGAGCTGTGAAGACGATGGTGAACTTACCCTTGTCAGCCGGTCGGTGCGAGCAGACGTCGCTCACGATGTTTTTTAGGTTTTCATAGATTTGATGTTTGTTCATGTCGAGCTGATCGAGCAGAAAAATACAGATTATAAAAGTTATGAAAACTAAAACATGTTATAAAGGTTTAGATGGATAGTTAGAATTATTCTCAGTGTTTTAGTTACCGTGGCGATCTGAGTCCTGATGTAGCACTCGTCCTCCACCAGGTACTCGTGACCCGTTTTAAATAAATCCAACATTTTAGGGACGTCGACGCCCACTGACCCTGAAAATCACACGGAAACGACCGGCGCTGAATAATTCATCATATATGTTCAGATCTGAAATGTGTTCATCTTTGATTCATACAGAAAGAATGTAGCAGTTATTTCAAACCGTTTTTATTATTCATTCATCAGGAGGTCAAAGGTCACAGCTCACCTCGTTTGCTCTTTGGAAACTTCTTCCTCAGTTTGCTTTTCAGCGCCACGAGTTTCTGCAGAATCTCTGGAACAGCCACGTAAAAATCTGCAGAAATCTCGTCATCCAGGATCTGGGGGAAAAAAAATCCAGATCAAACTCAAAATCAACAAAAGAATAGCGCCCTCTGGGTCCCGCCACCTGCAGAGACGGGCAGGGGGGACAGTGCGTTGTAGACTGGGCGGCACCCCGCTTCTAAAACCAAACTCCTGGAGAGGGACTGGACTCCTTTTCTGGAGACACCAGAAGTGAGAGGCTATGGGCGAACGAGAGGGTGGCCTATCTGTGACGCCAGGTCGCGGGAGTGAAGCTCAGACTGTCGTGTGTTCAGAGGCCTTCTGGGAGACTCTGGGCGGGGTCCTCAACTTTGACTTTATTCATCCCTGAAGGGCGATTTGGTTTTGCAGGAAGGCAAAAAGACAAAAGAACATCCAAAAAGCCAACATGGTAAAAATGCAAGAGGCGATGAATAAAAAGATCACGGACTGAGGGTCCTGGATCAGGGTTTTTTAGCCTGGGACTCTGTAATCCTTCTTGGAGACTTCAACGCTCACGTGGGCATCGATGGAGACGCCTGGAGGGGGTGATGGGAGGAACGGCCTACAGGATCTGAACCAGAGGGGTGCTTTGTTGTTGAACTTCTGGGCCAGTCTCTGCAGACAAAGGTGGTTTGCATTTTTATACAGGGGGACCAGAGGGTGTGCTCTTACCGTACCCTTGCAGGGCTTTTGGGGGGTCCAGTCAACATGTATTGTGTAGACGTAGAGAAGGCCTGTGACCGCGTCCCTCAGGGGGTCCTCTTAGAGGTACTGCAGTATATGGGGTCTGGGTGTTGTTGCTACGAGCCGTATGGTCCCTGTATGAACAGAGAGGTAGTCCACATCCTCAAGACACAAAGTCAGACACATTCTGCGTGCGTTTCCTCAGGGGGGGCCTTGGCTCCGCCTCAGAGCGAGGGGGAGGAGCTCACATCCACTGGTTGATTGATTTGTTACAATCCTGATCTCTGATTGGATAAAAAAAACTTGGGGGGCGCGCTGGTGGCTCAGTGGTTAGGGCGCGCGTCCCATGTATCGAGGCTGTCGTCTCAGGCGGGCGGCCCGGGTTCGCATCCCGCCTGCGGCCTCTCTCCTGCATGTCGTTCCCAGCTCTCTCTCTCTCTGGTTTCAGACTCTATCCACTGTCCTCTCTCTCTCTGGTTTCAGACTCTATCCACTGTCCTCTCTCTCTCTCTGGTTTCAGACTCTATCCACTGTCCTCTCTCTCTCTGGTTTCTGACTCTATCCACTGTCCTCTCTCTCTCTCTGGTTTCTGACTCTATCCACTGTCCTCTCTCTCTCTCTGGTTTCTGACTCTATCCACTGTCCTCTCTCTCTCTGGTTTCTGACTCTATCCACTGTCCTCTCTCTCTCTCTGGTTTCAGACTCTATCCACTGTCCTCTCTCTCTCTCTGGTTTCTGACTCTATCCACTGTCCTCTCTCTCTCTGGTTTCTGACTCTATCCACTGTCTCTCTCTCTCTCTGGTTTCTGACTCTATCCACTGTCCTCTCTCTCTCTGGTTTCTGACTCTATCCACTGTCCTCTCTCTCCCTGGTTTCTGACTCTATCCACTGTCCTCTCTCTCTCTGGTTTCTGACTCTATCCACTGTCCTCTCTCTCTCTGGTTTCAGACTCTATCCACTGTCCTCTCTCTGGTTTCAGACTCTATCCACTGTCCTCTCTCTGGTTTCAGACTCTATCCACTGTCCTCTCTCTCTCCCTGGTTTCTGACTCTATCCACTGTCCTCTCTCTCTCTCTCTGGTTTCTGACTCTATCCACTGTCCTCTCTCTCTCTGGTTTCAGACCCTATCCACTGTCCTCTCTCTCTCTGGTTTCTGACTCTATCCACTGTCCTCTCTCTCTCTCTGGTTTCTGACTCTATCCACTGTCCTCTCTCTCTCTCTCTGGTTTCTGACTCTATCCACTGTCCTCTCTCTCTCTGGTTTCTGACTCTATCCACTGTCCTCTCTCTCTCTCTGGTTTCTGACTCTATCCACTGTCCTCTCTCTCTCTCTGGTTTCAGACTCTATCCACTGTCCTCTCTCTGGTTTCAGACTCTATCCACTGTCCTCTCTCTCTCTGGTTTCAGACTCTATCCACTGTCCTGTCTCTCCTTTAAAGGCACAAAAAGCCCTGCCCAAAAAAAACAAAAAAAAACTTGATGTTTGTTTCTAAACTCACCGGCTGAATGAGCTCTGCTCCTCCAGCTAACATCGCTCCGTGAAGCTGAGCTTCTCTCACCTGATCCTCGTCCTAAAACACACACAGACAGACACACACACACAGACACACACACACACACACACACACACAGAGCGTTAAAAGTGATCTTGTTGTTATTTTTGTATCTTTTTATATTTATTTATATTAATAAATTATATTATTTTACTTCAGTAAAAACTAAAACTTTGTTCTCCGTCGTCCTGAAGGGATGAGGAAGGTGAACGACGCTGACGAACTGGTCGACTCTTTTCTGAGGAGGAAACAGGGCAAAGAATTTCAGATTAAAAGTTTCTCCAGTGAAACAGTTTCAGAATAAAACATCAGTAAAGATATTTAACCTTTAAGATAAATGAGGTCAGAGGTCAACAGACTCTCTCTCTTTCAGCCGATCTCTAAAAAAATATTTAAAAAACTAAACGCGAGTCTCTTTCGTACCTTCTTCTCCAGCTTCATGTCGAGCTTCAGGTCGATGAAAACCGCCTGATTTTTGGGCGTGAAGTCTAAAACCTGGAAGTTCTTCAGGAGGTCGATGGCGTCCGCCGCACCGTGGATCGTCCTCGGTAAAACCTCATCACATACACGTCATCGACTGGCGCCCACGCCGTCTTCCGTACGGCTTGTGTCTGTCTTTATCGTCGATCACCCTCTTCTCCTTCTTCACTTCCTTCTCCGCCTCCTCCTTCTTCTTCTCCTTCTTCATCGCCTGACGAACACGGAGATCACAGAACCTTTAACGTACGGGCTTCCTAACTTTGTTTCTCTTCTTTAATCTTTGACATGAACAGACTGATGTGCTTCACAGCTTCACCCTGAGACTTTGTAAATAAAAGGTTTGTGAAGTCACCTGACGGCAGCGAAGGTCCTGACAGGTACGCTCATCTGTGACACGCCTGTGTGGGCGGGGCCTCGGGCTCTCAGCTGCCTCTGACATCCTGTAAACACTAAAAAACAAAAAACTCTTCATGAAGTTCAATCACACTTTGCACATTAAATGATACAGAAGACAATTTAAATGTTTTCATCAAAAACGTGAAAACGTGCGGACTAGTTTAAGTTAAATAAAGTTAAATAAAGTTAAATAAAGTTAAATAAAGTCAGCCTGGTGTTGTTTTTACCTGTGCAGATTGATAGTTACACACAACACTATTTAACATGACTGAAAACCGTCTTTAGCTGATAGTAAAAAGGTCCCTTACCTAAATAACTAATGCCGAATTAAAGGCAGACCCTTGAGTATAACAGATATAACATTTAATTATTTTTATAGAAAAGTCTAAAGGGTGATTTAAAGAGAAAATGGTTAAATCTGAACTATTTTACATGAGGTTCGTTGTGACGTCATGAGCGCGACAGCCAGCGGACCGGTTAGCTGTCATGCTAACAGGCTGCAATAACAATAATGATTTAAATAAATAAATATATGAGGTTTTATTTCATTTTTTTCTGTTAAATTAAAAACTACTGACCTTTCCACACAGTCCGCGTGCAGGTAGCCATGTCTGGGACTGCTGCTCCTCCGTGTGGAAACAACGTCAACTACACAAAGGTTCCACCTGGGACATAACGACACGGAATTGTTTATCAATTAAAGTTTGTAATAATTAATCTGTTAAAGAATATAAAGTGTATATCCCGGAGCTGAGCTTTTATCTAAAGTTCAGTAAATATAATGACACTTGTTGTAAATACCAGTCTTCACTTTTTAAACGTTAAACTATTAAAGTAGGGACCGAACTCTACATCCTCCCTCACGCGTCCTGAGTTTTATTTTCTTTATTTAATTCAAATATAAATAATAAATAATCAAAAATATAACCACATCAAGAAGACGGGATCAGGCGGAAGTGACGTTTGTTGTTCTTGTTGCGTTTCCGAGACGTTCAGGGTCTGATCGGGTTCATCAGCTGTGTCTGCATGTCTCCACCGATTCTCTCCAAAGATCCTCTCTCACTGCCCCGAATGAAGGTAAACACATATCCACACCTTGTTGTCACGCTGCGGACTCGTAGTCCGAGTCGTCCCGGGTTAAAGTCACACTTTAATCCGCCTCAATGTTGAACCAGCTCCGCCTCGGTGACACCGGGTAGAGAGGGTCCTGAAGCCGGGCAGAGAGCGTCCTGAAGCCGGGCAGAGAGCGTCCTGAAGCCGCTACAAATATAAATCCATCGCGGTGCTTTGAGCTCTCTGTACGGTTCACCCGGTTTTAATCCGTGTTTATTCCGTTGTAATGATATTTAACAGTGTAAACACATTGAACATGTAGGGGTTACGGTGAGCGTGTGACAGCCAGGTGTGACAGCCAGGTGTGACAGGTGCTGAGCGGCTCCAACATGTCACATTCAGGGACCTAAAGTCACACAGTGTTCCCGTCTCTGGTCTGTCAGCTGTTAGCGCAGCTAGCTTAGCTTCATCTACTTTTATATAATATACTTTGAAAGTTGTTTAAATTAAAGAACAACAGCGGATAATGTTCCGTTAAATTAGAGATAAATCTCAGGTGTGTGTGAAGTTTATACCTGTGTGTGATTCAGTGAACAGGTTATATAATGTTCACCTCCGATTGACCTCATGAAGCTGCTCTCAGACTCACTGTGTTTATATTTAACATGTAGGCCTACAGTGTGATTCACTGCAGGAGTCACAACTAACCTATAACTCACTAATAACATGTATAATATATATTACTGTAACACGCTAATAACACGTATAATATATATTACTGTAACACGCTAATAACATGTATAATATATATTACTGTAACACGCTAATGACATGTATAATATATATTACTGTAACACGCTAATGACATGTATAATATATATTACTATAACACGCTAATAACATGTATAATATATATTACTGTAACACGCTAATAACATGTATAATATATATTACTGTAACACGCTAATAACATGTATAATATATATTACTGTAACACGCTAATAACATGTATAATATATATTACTATAACACGCTAATAACGTATAATATATATTACTATAACACGCTAATAACATGTATAATATATATTACTGTAACACGCTAATAACGTATAATATATATTACTGTAACACGCTAATAACATGTATAATATATATTACTGTAACACGCTAATAACATGTATAATATATATTACTGTAACACACTAATAACATGTATAATATATATTACTGTAACACACTAATAACATGTATAATATATATTACTGTAACACACTAATATATATTACTGTAACACACTAATAACATGTATAATATATATTACTGTAACACGCTAATAACGTATAATATATATTACTGTAACACGCTAATAACATGTATAATATATATTACTGTAACACACTAATAACATGTATAATATATATTACTGTAACACACTAATAACATGTATAATATATATTACTGTAACACACTAATATATATTACTGTAACACACTAATAACATGTATAATATATATTACTGTAACACACTAATAACATGTATAATATATATTACTGTAACACACTAATAACATGTATAATATATATTACTGTAACACACTAATATATATTACTGTAACACACTAATAACATGTATAATATATATTACTGTAACACGCTAATAACACGTATAATATATATTACTGTAACACGCTAATAACATGTATAATATATATTACTGTAACACGCTAATAACATGTATAATATATATTACTGTAACACGCTAATAACATGTATAATATATATTACTATAACACGCTAATAACGTATAATATATATTACTATAACACGCTAATAACATGTATAATATATATTACTGTAACACGCTAATAACGTATAATATATATTACTGTAACACGCTAATAACATGTATAATATATATTACTGTAACACGCTAATAACATGTATAATATATATTACTGTAACACACTAATAACATGTATAATATATATTACTGTAACACACTAATAACATGTATAATATATATTACTGTAACACACTAATATATATTACTGTAACACACTAATAACATGTATAATATATATTACTGTAACACGCTAATAACGTATAATATATATTACTGTAACACGCTAATAACATGTATAATATATATTACTGTAACACACTAATAACATGTATAATATATATTACTGTAACACACTAATAACATGTATAATATATATTACTGTAACACACTAATATATATTACTGTAACACACTAATAACATGTATAATATATATTACTGTAACACACTAATAACATGTATAATATATATTACTGTAACACACTAATAACATGTATAATATATATTACTGTAACACACTAATATATATTACTGTAACACACTAATAACATGTATAATATATATTACTGTAACACGCTAATAACATGTATAATATATATTACTGTAACACACTAATAACATGTATAATATATATTACTATAACATGCTAATAACGTATAATATATATTACTATAACACGCTAATATATATTACTGTAACACGCTAATAACATGTATAATATATATTACTGTAACACGCTAATAACATGTATAATATATATTACTGTAACACGCTAATAACATGTATAATATATTACTGTAACACGCTAATAATGTATAATATATATTACTATAACACGCTAATAACATGTATAATATATATTACTGTAACACGCTAATAACATGTATAATAATATACTGTAACACGCTAATAACATGTATAATATATATTACTGTAACACGCTAATGACATGTATATATATATTACTATAACACGCTTAAATTAGTTATAATATATATTACTAACACGCTTAAAACATGTATAATACACTTTTTAATATTTATATACTATAACACGCTTATAACATGTATAATACACTTTTAATATATATTACTATAACACGCTAATAACATGTATAATACACTTTCAAATTATATATCACTATAACACGCTTAAAACATGTATAATTCACTTTTAATATATATTACTATAACACGCTTAAAAATGTATAATACACTTTCAATATATACCACTATAACACTTTAAAACATGTATAATACACAACACAATATATATTACTATAACACGCTTAAACATGTATAATACACTTTAATATATATTACTATAACACGCTTAAAACATGTATACATATATATACTATAACACGCTTAAAACATGTATAATACACTTTAATATATATTACTGTAACACACTAATAACATGCCTATCACATGTTTATAACATGTATATTACTGTAACACGCTTATAACATGTATAATACACTTTTAATATACATTACTATAACACGCTGCTATAACATGTATAATACACTTTTAATATATATTACATAAACGCTTCTACATGTATAATACACTTTTATATATATTACTATAACACGCTTCTAACATGTATAATACACTTTAATATATTTACTATACACGCTTCTGACATGTATAATACACTTTTAATATATATTTACTATAACAGCTTCTAACATGTTAATACACTTTTAATATGTATATTACTATAACATGCTTCTGACATGTATAATACACTTTTAATATATATTACTATAACACGCTTCTAACATGTCTAA